CATGCGCTCCTCGTGGGTCGGGGCGACGCCGGCGCTGCGGGCGCACAGCCCCACGTAAACGTCCTCCGGGGCCACGGCGGGGACCGACGGCGCCGCCGCCAGCACGGCCCGCACGGCGCCCATGGACAGCGCGTAGGCGCTGCCGCTGCAGTAGGGCGGGAAGCGGCGGGCGCCGAAGAGCCGCGCCGGGACGTGGTGGCGGCTGCGGGGGTCGCGGTTCGGGGCCACGCCGTGATGGACGCGGCCCATGTAGAAGCGGGCGGGGGGCGGCGGGGCGGCGGCCAGGCGGGCGAGGAGGGCGGGGGTGTGGACGAAGGAGTCGTCGTCGGCCTTGAGCACGAAGGGCGCCGCGGGGCAGCAGCGGGCGGCCCAGGCCAGCAGCAGCAGCGTCTTGTGCCGCAGGTTGCCGTACGTGTCCCAGAAGGAGCCCTGCAGCACGTCGCCGAAGCGCCGCCACTCGCTGCGCAGCGCTGCCCCATAGCGCTCGGCTTCAGCCTGCGCCTCTGCCCCATAGCGCTCGGGTTCGACATGGGGTTCTGCCCCATAGCGCTCGGCTTCACCGTGGGGTTCTGCCCCATAGCGCTCAGGTTCGACATGGGGTTCTGCCCCATAGCGCTCAGCTTCACCGTGGGGTTCTGCCCCATAGCGATCGGGTTCGACATGGAGTTCTGCCCCATAGCGCTCAGCTTCACCATGGGGTTCTGCCCCATAGCGCTCAGCTTCACCGTGGGGTTCTGCCCCATAGCGCCACGCTTCACCGTGGGGTTCTGCCCCATAGCGCCAAGCTTCAGCCTGCGCCTCTGCCCCATAGCGCTCAGCTTCACCATGGGGTTCTGCCCCATAGCGCTCAGCTGCAGCCGGCACCTCTGCCCCATAGTGCTGCACTTCCTCCTGGAGTTCTGCCCCATAGCGCTGTGCTTTGTCATGGAGTTCTGCCCCATAGCGCTGTGCTTTGTCATGGAGTTCTGCCCCATAGCGCTGCACTTTGTCATGGGGTTCTGCTCCGCAGCACCACGCTTCGGCCTGCACCTCTGCCCCATAGCGCTCAGCTTTGTCCTGAGGCTCTGCCCCATAGCGCTGCACTTTGTCATGGGGTCCTGCCCCATAATGCTGCACTTCGGCCTGCGCCTCTGCCCCATGGCGCTGCGCTTTGTCCTGGAGCTCTGCCCCATAGCGCTGCACTTCGTCCTGTGTGGGCCTATAAGGCTGAGCTTTGCCCTGAGGCTCTGCCCCATAGCGCTGGGATGCGGTCCGGAGGGCTGCCCCATAGCGCTGCGCTTTGTCCTGCGTGGCCCCATAGGGCTGGGCTTTGTCCTGGGGCTCTGCCCCATAGCGCTGAGTCCATTCCCACTGCTCTGCCCCATAGCGCTGGCTCTGGTCCTGCATGGCCGTATGGGGCTGGACTTTGTCCTGCGGCGCTGCCCCATAGCGCTGGGCTTCGTCCTGGGGCTCTGCCCCATAGCGTTGGGTCCCGTCCTCCCTCCCTATGGAGCCCTGTGGGGCAGAGACACTTGTGGGGTCACCACGTCCTCCTCAAAGCCCTTTGGGGTCCCCGTGGCCCCATAGGATCCCCCAGCCCCATTTCCCTATGGGACCCCTCCCCCTTTACACCAACAGGGACCCCAAACCCGACTGC